GAGGTTTGCGTGGGCGTCGGGACGCCCCCGGGAACTGTGGGGACGTCGATACGACGCCAGACGCCGCGGCGCTGTTGCTCTCTCTCTCTCTCTCTCTCTCTGTCTATCTGCTTCTCTCTCGAACAAACCGCAGTGCTCCTGTTTCTTTGTCATTCTCTTTTATTTTTTTTTTGTTCTTCCCTTTTGGATCCTCCTTTCTTTTTTCGTCTTCGCATTTCTTATCTGTTTTTATCTATTTTGAATTTTACTTACGTACCGCCGATCACGTAAATATCTTATTTCCGGTCACGATCACGATTTTCTCCCGATACCCACAGGATGCTTGTCCTTCGTTATTTCTCCTTTGCACGTTGAATTCGACGCACAAATTGGATCGAGTCGACCTGCCGGGAGTCATTTCACGGGTACAGTGCGTCACGAGCTATTCGCACGGCTGGGTTAGGATGACTTCTCAGGCGGCAGCCCTCTTTTCTCCTTCGCTCCAGCATCACTGGAAATCTATTTTTACAGGCTGTACAACTCGTACATGTTATATGCTCGTATACTCGTAATGGCAGATACGGAAGATGCTGCCCGTAAATTATTGAAGGAATCTTCTGGACCGTTGGGATTTGCCTTGGTAAATCCTCCTCGGGTTGTCCCATAACCTCGTAAAGACATTTGGACGTGTGTTCCTGTAGGGATTTGCCTGGTGTAACGGCGAAGCCTGTTACACACCGAAAGCACGGCTCTACGGATACAATAAACACGCGGGTAGTTCGGTTGACGAAAGTCCGTGTTACATAGGAAAAATCGAAATAAAAATTCTTTGGGCCAACGAGCCCCGGCAACTCTGTTTCAAATGGAACATATATCTCGGACTGAGATATCGATTAATGTCGCGAGCTTTTATCGATAATAATGACAATAAGGCGGATATGTTAAAAGTCACGTCATCCTCATTGATAACGATAATCATGTACTCGACACCCACGTGGAGGCTCCATTGAAATTTTCACGTTCCCCGAATACGTCAGTACCTCATACCTTCAGCCCTGCTTGATCCCCCCCCTCCCAGGGGCGGCGACCCTTCCCACTCTCGAGGGTCTCTGCAATTAATTCGTCTTGGCTCTCGATGCTAATTAGCCCGGCGTGTCGTCATCCTCGTCCTCCTCGTCGGGACGGGAAACTCTGGAAAAGCCGCGGGGACTTTGTCGCTTAAATTGTGAGGGGCGATGAAGGCGAAGGGGTGCTGCTGGATCAAGATATAGACTGAGGGAGAGAGAGAGAGAGAGACTCGATGGCGAATCGTAGGCGCAGGAGAGAGACAGAGATATAGATAGAGGGTTCCGGCGAACCTCCGCGAGGCCATTGGCCCTACCGACTCTTATCAGCCAGCGGAATCACTGATAACGACAACGGATCGACAATGGATTTTCACTATATTTCAATTTGACCTATCTGTACCTGTGGTATCGCCTACCACCCCCTTTCCTCTCTCTCTCTCTCTCTCTCTCTCTCTCTCTCTCTCTCTCTCTCTCTCTCTCTCTCTATCAATTATCTATACCATTGAATCCCTGTCTCGTATCCTCATTAGCCTCGCGCACTAATTAACGGATTCTCGTCAACGTCCGTTACAATGACGAATTTCAGAGTCGCGCAAATACAGCCTAACCTGACCCCGTACCTCTTTACTCTATATTTTTTTTTTATAACCTGCACTTACCAATCACTGCACTCGCCAATCAGTCTCCAGTGTAAATGTTACTTGTCACTTTCGACCGTTCAACCCATCTGTGCTTTGTCTCTTTATTTTTTGTTTCCTTTAGCTACACGTTGCGTACATTTTCGTGTCTTCGAGAAAATAAAGAAAGGCAATGACCCGCCTAATGGACATTCTCGTGATTCCCTTTCTGTCACAGGCCTAGACTCTTGTCGCAAGCCGAAGTCACGGTCTGTCAGACGCGTCCAGACTACACGTATCCTGAATGTGCATTCTGACGTTGCCAGTTGTTACCTGTTCGAGGGGTAATAGACGCACGTATATAAGGTAGATGGGAGTGCGACTGCGACAGAGATATACCGAGTGTATAAAGACAGCAGACTACAGAGGGTAAAGAGTATATGGCTAAGGTAGAGAGAGAGAGAGAGAGACAGAGCGATGTAAAGTTTTTTTCCATTAACGAGTGTCTTTTTCATCCCCTATCACTTCTTTTTCTTTCCTTGCATATCTCGTTCTCCCAACCATTTCAATGGCTCCCACTGCTGATAGCTCAGCCACTGTTATCAACCCACGCATCCCCCCCCAACCACCCCTCGACCGGCCTCCCGGACAGTCACAATAGATTCTTCATTACCGATACAGCCGGCACGCCAAAAGCACAAAGATTTCCAGCGCGAATAATCAGGGACGCCACGGGTAGCGTCCCGATACCGACGCCCGGCGTCCCTGGCGTCACGAGAATTGCCGTTTTATCTCGGCCACGAGAGGAGATACGTGCGTGCGGGAAAACAGCGGGATTGCGGCTCTAGGTAATTTAAGGGATGAATACATCATCCCCCATTCATCCCTTGTTTCCTCAGCCGTCCGGACAATGGCGGCTTCCTTATTTCCGAGTCTTCTCCACTTGTTCCATTGTTTACGAGCTTCTTTCGAACTTCATTCCCGTGCCTTCAACCGGTAACAATGTATTCTCTTACTTTGGGTTCCAGTGACGTCAGCCGCCCTGCCCAACAGCGGAAGTGACGGGGCGCCCGGCAGATTTCCAACGTCAGGACCGATGGCGGCCGCGAGCTTTCCCCCGAACTTCGCGAACGTCGGCGTCATCGAGAATTGGTGAGTAGGACGCCATTTTTTAATATCGATTTTTAAACTTCTTTACGACACCAATTTTTCCTTTTCATTCCCCCCCCCGTCCCTCCCTCTCCACCGTCCCTTCAACCTCCCTCCCCCGCAAACCTTTCAGCCACTGCGATTCTTCACCGAGGAATTATTTCGTCACGTTATTCGTATACCAAGTCCGAATTGTCTGTATGATATGAATTAATACTTTTTTTTTTCTCAATTTCCTTCTGGCTGAAAGGGGTGGATGGGAGTACACTATCAGGTTTACCTATTATCAAAAATTCTTTAAATCCTGTACAATGCCTATAAATATTCTCCAACCACCCCCCCCCCCCCC